CACACACACACACACACACACACACACATACACACACACACACACATACACACACACACACACTCTTTCTCTCTCTCCTCTCTCCCCTCCCTCATTCTCTCCCTTGCTTTCTCCATCCATGCCTCTCCATCTCCCCTCACTACCCCCACACACACATGTGTACCCAGAAGTCTGACTCCCAAGTGATTCTCAGTTCTTCCAAGTTTACAATTACTACTAACCATCACAGCAATACTGTATAAGAAACCATTTTTTAAAAGGAAAATTACACAATGATCTTAATAAATGTAAAAATGCAAAAATCCAAGATTTTGCCACATTTGGGATGAAAGAGCACTTCCTCAACTCTTCAATTTTGTAAGAATGGCAATATAAATCTCCATATAATTAATACTTAATGATGAAATATTGTTTCTTCTCCCTTGGGATCAGAAACAAGAAAAGGGTATTCATTCTCAACATTTTCATTCAAACTTATAGATTTTATTTAGCAGATAGGAGTTAGGAAAGGAAAGGCAAAAAATGTTCTTTAGATCAGAAAGAAAGATGTTAAACTACTTTTTCTTTGTGAATAACATGTACAAAATATGTAAAAAAATCAATGCAATCCACAAAACAAGCAACTGAAAGTAATATCAGACTCAGAAAAGAATAAACATAAATATCAATATAAAAACCAGGTGGTGGTGTCACATGCCCTGTGAGTTTAAGGCCAACCTGGTCTACAAAGTGAATTCCAGGACAGCCAGGACTGTTATACAGAGAAACCCTGTCTCAAAAGAAAAGAAAACTAATTGCATTCATATAGATCAGCAATAAAGCTTTATAAAGTAATAAAGTGAGAAATTCTAACAAAAGCATCAAAAATGATGAATTTAGGGATAAATCTGACAGAGCTCATTCAAGATCTGTGCACTGAAACATATACACCATTGCTGACAGAAATTGAATAGTGAAATAAAATATACTGTGTTTATGAGTTAAGAGATTCAATATCATTGTCATTTCTCTATAAACTGATCTCTGAATTTAATGGGACGACATTCAAAATTCTGGCATGAATTACAGTTAGAGAGAAGGAATTTGCTACCAGGACAAAAGACTGTGCTATAACTGTTATATATCATACAGACATATATCAAACCACACTGAACTGAGGGGTTTTTTTTGTATGAACAATTTTTTGAGACAAGGTCTCAATATTTAACACAGGCTGGCCTCAAACTCTTAATCCATTTACCTTTGCCTCCCAAGTTCTGCGATAACTGGCAGTCACCACACCGTTCTTGTCTGTAAGATAAAATTTTAAATGATTTAGTATGCAGACAAATTAATATACTTCTGCCCTCTGAATTTAGTGCCCACTCTCCTTTGCATATTTTGGAACTTAATCACCAGTGTAGTGTTAAAAGGTGGGACCTTTAAGGGATGAATGGAGGATGAGAGAAGGTCCTTTGAGAGTTTCATCAGTACCTTTACAAAAGAAGCTTGAGGGAACATGTTTATAATTTCCATATTATATAGCCTAGAAAGCAGTGATTAAACTCTCAGTAGACACAGTCTATAGATACCAGGGTCTTGAATTTCTCAGACTCCAGAATTGTATACAGTGAATTTCCATTGTTTACAAGTTTCTCAGTCTGGGTCATTTCACTGTACTATCACAAAAGCACGTAGATTTCCTATTTCTATCTGCAAATGAGAATTAGAGATGGTAACAGCATTGCAGTAATAAACCCACCTAGAGTCCACATATTCAGTTCTGCTCCATTCTCCAAGGAAAGGAATTCAATTCAATTGGAAAAGTGTGTGAGTATAGGACAAGGAAAACACAGTGCAGGCCTAGAGTATCTTGAAGTCAAGTGCTTTTTAAAACAGAAGACAGGAACTTGTCAAAGGGTTACATAGCCAACCTGAAAGAGCTTTGAATGGCCAAAATGGGATTGACTTGAGCTATACAATGATATTGTGGAACTAAGGCCCCATTGCTGAAGAAAACACCTACATACTCATTGAACATGGAGATGTTGAGCCAGTGCCTACATAGAGCCTTCACCCCTAAGTTCCAGCATCTTTGGTACAGGAAGGTACTCTCAATACTATCAAAAGACAAATGACAACACAAAGCCAGCCACAAATCCTGTGTCTACAATGGTGTGTTACATTCAAGATATACTAGGGCAATGGTGACATAAAACTTGTAGAAGTAACCAACCAATTACTGATTTGACATAAGGCCCACTCCATGAGATCACACCCATACCCGACACTGCTTGGGTGAACAAGTATCTGAGACCCCAGGGACCTAGGGAAAACAAATAATACTGCTCTAAAAAGGGGGGGAGGGATGTAGTGATGAAATGATTCCTAATGATATTCTGCTATACTCATAGACCAGTGCCTTATTTATCCATCCTCAGAGGAAAGCTTCCTCCTGTGGCAGGTGGTAACAAATGTGGAGACCCACAGCCAGACATTACACATAGAGTGATAGATCTTGGAACACGCAGCACTCAACACTTAATGGGATATCTCCACCAAATACCTCCCCTCCGAGCTTAGATAACTCCTAGGAAGAGGAGGTAGAAAAATTTTAAGAGGCAGAGGGGATGAGAACGGTAAGAAAACAAGGCCCTCAAAATCAACATGAGAAAAGCTTATATGAATTCACAGAGACTGAGGTAGCATGCACAGGGCCTGCATAGATCTGTACCAGGTCCTTAGTTTATATATTAGGGCTTCCATTAAGTGTTATTATGGGATTCCCAAGTGTGCAAATGAGTGGGGCTCTAATCCTTGTGCCTTCTCTTGGGCTTTTTGCCTCTTTTTGGTTTGTCCTGTCCAACTTCAATGTGGTAATTTTTGTCTTATCTTATTATATTTTATTTTCTTAATTTTTTAAAAAAAGGAATGAATGAATGAAAGCCTGGTCACTAGGGTAAAGGTTAACAACTGAACTGTCACTTATGCCTGCTGGGAGGGAAAAATCAGTTTTCTCCAATAGAGTGACACTGGGTATATCAACCACACTTGGACAGGCCTCATGCTTAGTAGTAGGTAACCAACATATAATGGACTCCACAGATTTGTGTGTGAGTTATTTGTTTACAGTTTGTCTGTTTGTTGTTTTCTTTTGGGGTGTGGTTTTATTTTGTTTTCTTGGGTTTGCTGTTGTACTGTGTTTTTGTTTGACTTTTTTCAGAAAGAATTTAAAGTTGAGGAGATAAGGTGGTACAGATAATCTAGAAGGACTTGGGGGAAGGGAAAGAATATGATCTAATACATTTGAATTTAAAAATTGTTTTAAATATATATATATATATATATATATATATATATATATATATAGTTTTTAAAACTTGATACTGTGGGATTACAAGCCAATTAACAAAATAAATATCTGAGAACACTCCTACTTAAATAAATTCTTCAATAAACAACCTCTCCTTACTCAATAATTCTAATTAATAAATGCAAACTGAATAAGTAAAAAGAAAATAGCAATTCAAGCACCATAGTAACAGTTGCTACAGGCAAAATACTCTGATAAATGCTAACACTACTTCATCCAACCTTAAGAAGAAATAGGGTAGTTACATAACCTCTAAATATATTTTCCAAAATTTTTATTAATTACTGTGGTGACTTTAACATATACCCACACATTTTCTTAATAATCCTTCTTCCTGGAGACTGATATAAATTAATTCATCTCCCCTTAAACTGGAATTGGTCATTTTTGTCTTAGAGAATAAACCATGAACACAGAAAAACAATAACTTTACTGGGAAGAAATCCAGCTAATAATACCTGAACCAAGTGATCAAGTTCAATATCACTCATGATAATCATTTACCTACCTCTATTATGTGATGACTTTAAAAGTGTCCAAGTCAGAAAAATGCAAGTACGAGAAATCTGATTAAAATCTATGGTCGAATAGTATACCAGAATCAATTTACTGATTTTTATTATTGCATCATTTCATGTGAGATATGGGCATTAGAAGATCCTAAAAATAGTGTAGATGGAAAAAACATATACTATTTTTCAACTTATCTGTAGCTCAGAAATGACTTTTTCAAATGCTTAAAAACTCCCTGCAAGATTTGTTGTAGACAATGCCAATTCTAAAATTTGGCAAAGTGATTCTAAAATTCAGTTGCAAATGCAAATGATCTAGAACAGCCAAAAACACTTTGGAAAGAATAATAAAACTCGGAGACAAATTATGAAATTTTAAGATTTTAAAAAGCTCTTTATTGAAGTAACATTCCATATAAAATGCTGCATCTAGGTATTATAGATAAATTTGTGAGTTTGAAGATGACTATGTACCCATGAAACCATAACGAAAATCAGTTCCATGAAAATGTTTGCCCCTAAAAGTCTTCTCCCTCTCTCTATAGTATTATTGTTATCTGGTCATAAGAACATTGAACTTAAGACCTCCTCTGTTAGAAAATATTGAAGTATATAATAGAGTATTGCTCACTATAGGCCCTGTGCTGTACAGTTCAGCCCTAGCACTGACTCAGTGTGCATAATTGAACCATCATACTAGTAAATCCCAGCTTTCTCCAATTCCAGCTCCTGACACACCATTTTAATTTCTGTTTTTATGAGTTTAGCTACTTTAATAAGTAGTACCATATAGGATATGTTCTAGTCTGAATTACTTCCTTAAAATAATGTCTCCCTGGTTCATCCATGTTGTCACACATGACAGAGTGTCTTCCTATATTAAAGACTGACCAGTATGCCACTGTGTACATATGTGACATTTTTATTTTCCATCCATCAATAGATGTTTAGATTGCTGATGTATTTTGGATAATATGAATATTATTTCAATGAATGAACCTCATCAAAGTCCTGGTGTCACTTCCCTGCATTATAGTTATATGTCACACACTGGTATTCTAGTCAATGATGGGCTACAATTATAATGGTGATGCTATAAGATAGTAATGGTTTTTAAAAGTTCCTATCACTTAATGACATCTTAGCTATCTTCATGTTGTATCACAATGTGTTACTCACATGTTTATAATGGCACTAGGATTAACTAACTTGCTGTTTTGCCAGTCTTAAAAAAGTATAGCATTATCCAATTTTCCATAGTATATTACACTGGTGAATGATAAGAAAATGACCGTTTTTCTATGTTTATTGAACTATACTTTTATTGTTATTTTTTACTGTGTTCCCACTTATTTAAAGCACTTTAGTGTAAAACTGTATGTCACATTAGACCTTTTCTCTTGTACATTATTTGAACATGTGTTTCTTAGTTCACCACAACTCCAGGAGCAATCAATTGTACTATAGAGCATATTATACCATAAACACTAGATGTATAGTAAGCACATAGGTTGATATAAGCACACTTAGTTGTTTACACAAAGGCAAAATAGTTTAACAATGTTTTTCCAAAGCGTATCTCCACAAAGCTCTATACACAGCAATGTCATTGCTATATCACATGATAGTACTATTTTTTTAATTTATTTTACATTTTATTATATTTATTTGTCTATCTGTGAAGAAGGATGCATGTGCTGCATGGATCTCACCATCTACCATATATGGATTCCGGAGATCAAATTAATCAGGACTGGAAGCAAGTTCCTTTACTCAAGGAGTCTTCTCAATGACCTTTTTTTTTTTTTACCAGAATCTTTATGCTGTCATCAATAATGCCTGTATCAATTTACATTACCACCAACAGTGTACAAGAGTTGCCTATAGCCACATCCTTGTCATTGCTTAGTATCTTTGTTTTCATGCTAGCCATCTTAGCAGGTGTGCAGGCTTGTTTCATGTCACTTTGATACAAGCTAGAGTTACTGGAGAGGAGGGGGCCTCATTTGAGAAAATGCCTTAATAAGATTTGGCTATAGGCAGGCCAAATATAGGGTATTTTCTTACTTAGTTAATTATGTGGGAGGGCCCGGCCCCAGCCCATTGTGGGTTGTGCCACCCCTGGGCTGGTATTCCTAGGTTCTAAAAGGAAGCAGTCTAAGAAATCCATGGGGAGCAAGCCAGTAACAGCACCCCTCCATGGCCTCAGGTCTTACTTTAAGTCACTTTAGTTGACTTTGGATCATATCTAGTTTCATTCTTCTGTGCGTATATTTCCAGTTTTCTAAACACCATTCATTGAAATTCAGATTTTTCTCACTTTGTATTTTCATCACACTTGTTAAACATCAATGAACTGTATATGTGAGAAAAATGCATAAAAATTTGGAAGGAAAAAAACCAATTATCTCTGTATGCAGGTGACA